TCGTTAACAATAGTGCATTCAGAGATGTAGTGGAACTGATACAATAGAATCTTATCACATAAAATTCTATCGTATTAAGGCAGTTTTAAAATTTATTTTAGGCCTGAAAGTTCACCCAATTATCAAATATTGTGTTTCAAATAGCGAATTAGTAGTTATTCATCTTTATGAACGGTAGTAAAGCGTTTTTTATTCGTGCAAAGTGCAAGCTTTCGGATCTTTATGTTTATGTTAGAATGACACACAAATTGTTAAAAATAAAAAATAAAGATACAACTTTTCGCAATGAGTTTCATTGCGAAAGGTTGTATCTTTATTTTTAATATTTGCAGCGCAAAATTATTCGTTTATTTTAACACCAATTGTTGTTTTCTCTTTTCAGAATTTCTGCTATTTTATCTCGACATTCTAATGTTTAAACTTTATAAATTACTTCCCAAGTTAATGGCATACGTATATTCGAACATAATCAGTTATTTAGGATATCTTATATTTAAACCATTTATCTTTGTGATTGGAATTGAATAATATATATAAATTTAATATCTATTCATAAATATAAAATAAAAATACAATATCTTTTATCGTTTTATTCTTAAGTAAATTTCAATCCCTATCCAGTCAAAATATCCGCTATTTAATCTAGGGTCAAATATTTATCTGGAGCTATAGAGTCAATGATTATATTTGTTCATAAATTTTAATATGATCCTAAGGTAAATATTGATATGCCCTTATTTACACTTTGCTATAAATATTAAACAGCTTGAAATCCTAGATTATTATTTATTAATATTTATGTGAGGGATGTGTGTGGACAGCTGAATAAACAATACCTTACTCTGAAGTATAGTTATTCAGGGTTTATTGCTGAAGGCATTTTGACGGTGTACTGCCATTTCGCCGTGGAGTGGAATCCATTCTATATTGACCCAATTGTGTACACAATAGAACCTCTTATATGACTATTGCTTATAAAACATTAATAACTTTGGTTATATCTATAGTTAGATGCTTTTTTGTTAGGTTGGGTTAGTTTATTTTACAAAAATATAATCGCGCTTTTAAAATTTAACTGTGTGTATGTGTAAATAGAAACAATAATTTTATAATGTAAATAAAGCTTCCAGGGTTAAGTTTCTTGTTCAAATTTTTATTTTCAAGCTTTCGGACTTGTCAGTTCTTCAAAAGGAGTATTACAATAATCAATTTATTAACGTGATACTCCTGTTGAAGGACTGACAAGTCCGAAAGCTTGAAAATAAAATTTGAACAATAAACTCAACCCTGAAAGCTTCATTTACTTTATAATATCATAAATCATGGAAGAAAGTTCATAAAGAAACAATAATTATTTGAAGAGAAGATATTTTAAAGTATATATACAAAATACTCTTTCTATTTTTCAACTGCAAAATTTAAGATTTTTTAATATTTTTTATACTTTATTACTTTTAATATAGAGCTTCAGCTATGTATTTACTGGAACAAAATATAAATTATTACTATTAAAAAAACGAAAGAAAAAATAAAAGATAAAAAGATCAGGTGTTGAAATCAATATTAAAAATGGCATATCCTGACCAGGAGCACATGTGCTTTACAGAAGGCAGAGCGCCATCTGATGGAACAGAAATCAACTAAACATTGATTTAGCCTGTTCCCTGATATTTGGCCAACCAAATTTCTTGATAAATCAAGAAAATCCATCCACAGGCTAAATCAATGTTTAGTTGATTTCTGTTCCACCAGATGGCGCTCTGCCTTCTGTAAAGCACATGTGCTCCTGGTCAGGATATGCCATTTTTAATATTAATTATTACTATAGTATACTAGGAATGGTATAGCGCCTTATTGCAAAAAAAAGGGTAAGACAACCGTAAGATGGCAATACATTTTGATTTATAAACTCTGAAATTGTTTATTAAAACAGTAATGCTCTCTCTCTCTACTTTAATTCCTATCTCGACAATTCACATTTTTCAAAATTATTCATAATTTCTTTTATAATAACAACCTTCCTGAAATTCTAATGTTTAAAAACAAAATTATTCAGATATTTCATCTATTTTTCGTTAATTTCGAATTTTTGAGGTATTTTATTAAATTTAAATACAATTTGATTTACGCCCTAGAAATAAAATTCCTGAATGATTTAACACCATTTTGCTATTTTTTTTTATTTGCATCATTTAATTCAAAATTGAAATGGCTTTTATTTTTATTCGTAAAATTTAAATCAATAAATACACAATGAATTAATTTTTATTTTTAAATTGTTATTTAAATCGTAATTATAGAGTATTTCTATAAATTGTTGATAATTTTAAATATCATAAATATTTTTAGCCTATTTTTTAATTTTAGATACTCATATCTCTGTTGAAAAAAAGAGGGAAGATAGATGAAGGAATAGATCTCTGGAAAATTTTATTGAACAAGGACTTTAGACTCAAAGTCACCAACCTCACACTGGAAAAGAATACACATTTAACTAACAAACGGCATCTTATGTCGTTTATATACAAATTAACATATCTATAGTTTATATACAGAGCATCATATCAGAGTATCTATTTCTACACAGAGTAATCACAATAGAGTAACAAATCACTGGTCAAACAATAATCCTGTTATTATCCTATTTAAAAATACGCAAGAATTGTCAATTTCAACATTATTTATACGATCTTCTAATCTACACATTAAAAAGATATCAATATTTAAATATACAAGTGTCAGGGTCATCAATGAATTCTTAATTCTGTCACCGTTTGCTTTTGTGAATGGAATAAATACCCAAATATGGCCATTTCTCATAAGCATCGATGGTTCAGTGGTAAAATGCTCGCCTGCCACGCGGGCGGCCCGGGTTCGATTCCCGGCCGATGCATTTTTTTTTTTTTTACAATTTTTAAAATTCATTTATATATTATACAAGAATGACATCCACGGCGCCAATTTATAATTGTAACGAATAGTATTTGAATAAAAGCATTTAATCGGGTAAAACCCGGGCGTTGCCTGGGTCATTCGGCTAGTATACTATATTAAAGAATAGGAAACAACAGGAGTTATATATTAATCGAGCAAATTTGTAAAGAGAATAATCTGTATATAAAATAATAAATATTGTGTTATATTCCTCTGGGAGCTGACCTTTCAAACTTTGTTGCCTCTGACATATATATCTAACGTCGAGAATTCCTTCAGCTTTTTAATAGTTTGTCCCCAATTCCTTCTTTATTTTTTGTGTATAGAAATACTTTGTCGCCATATTGTGATTAGCGACATGTTCCTTTGTCAGTGAAGTACTTGGTTTTGGGTCTTCTTCTTTTTATATCCACTCAATGATATTAGGGTATCAAACTTGTAGAGCTTGTTGATGGTGTCTGCTGGGGATGAGTAAAGATCATCAATGGACGAGTCAATACAGTCAATAATGTGGTTTGGGGTTGCAGGTTGAGAATTGAATATGCACATAGTTGGAAATCCATGCAACCATTTTGGAAAGCCGTTGTTCGTAAATGACCAGACTTAAGTCTGTAAATCAAAGACTGTTAATCCCCTTGGCTTTGGTACGATGGCTAAATAATCAGAAATTTTTAGAAATAAAATTTAATAGAACAAACATATTGCATTTAGATCTTCTTAGCGACTATTCAATTTGTCTTTTCCATTCTGAAAGGTCTCTACACAAGGATAATACATAAAAAATACGGAAAGACGAATGACAGCTTGCTGTGAGGAAATTAAATATTTTTTTATAACAAAGAGTTTTTTCTACATGAATTAACAGTGAGGCAAAAACTATTCAGGAGAAATAACAGGTTATCAACATTGTGTTTATAAATTAAATTGAAATCTATTGATAAAATATTTATTACCGAAATGTGTTTCTCTTATCACATATATCATCAAATATACCAATGAGAGTTTATTACTGATGAGCTCATTCATCACTTATTCAATAACTTTTATCATTGCAGTAAGGTCTGTAGAGATTATATTTGATGATATATTTGATATGAAACGCATATTGCCAAAATAAACGGAGGAGACAACTCCTGACCATTTACTCTCATACATGGGATTCACCAAGCACGACTTGTACCACAACCTACAACTAAGCCTAATAGTTTACTCTCGATGTGAAAGCAGCGAAGATGCACAGGCGCGCGCTCCTGCCCCACTTCTGAGATTTGAAAAATCTCAACCGCCTCTTAGCCTTGCCGTTTTTCGCTCTGGAGGATATTAAAATGTCGCAAGGTGTGTCAAATTTAGTACTGGCTGAAAGCCCTGGACGAGCTTCTAGTGAGCCTGAAAAGCTCAGCTCGAAAACTCAAGCCAGTCCTGAGAAATCGGCAAAAATTGGCTTTCAAAAGAAAACTTCTAAAGACGTTCAGGAATTCCCTAATTATGCAGATTTGCCTGCTGACGAGGAGAATGCAATTTCTGCCGCGGCGGATGAAATTGTTGCTAAGCCTTCTGTTACAACTAATCCTAAACTAGATATATGTAAACAATCTCCATGACATTGTGTAATGTCATAAGGGATAATTGAAAATATTATAATTTGAAATGTTCGTTTCCTCTATATTAACATATATTAAACTGGCGAAAACGCTGAGAGGGTCCACCACTGATGAGCCTGGCCCTCCCATTAATTTTTCCCTTGATGTAAGGGCAGTAGAAATTGTTTATTTTAAAAAAGAATCATACGCGTCTATAATAGCTTCGAATTTTGATAACAGATGGCGCGCTAATGCATTATAATATAAACATATTTACATATTTTCGAAGATTATTTGTTGATTGGAAGTTTTTGGAAAAATATATGGCCACATCAACTATTTTTTTAAGTTTAATCCCCGACGTTTCCAGGGGAGAGTGACAGATAGTTACTGAAATATAGGGCAAACTCAAGGGCGTAATATACCTTTAAAAATAATATTTTTTTACACACATTGGTGTATATATATATATATATATACAATAATTCGGGGAGTTGGTGGAAGGATGGTCTAACCCGTTGGTTTTCGACCACCAACGACCCGGGTTCGATTCCCGCATTGAGAACTTTTTTCTCATAAAAAAAAACGCTCCAATGGCCCCCGATTCTTGCAAAAGTCCAATCCCACCAGCGAGTGTAAGTAACCAAACGGGGCTCTGGTACATTTGTAAGTGCAAAGTCGAACAGCTTTTCACATGTGTAGATATGTGGTACACTTACAGTAAAAGCAGTCGCCTACATCTACCCACCATGATTATCATGACCTGTACCACGTGTACTAGATATAAGTAAAAAATACAATAATTCACAATAGAAACTAAAACAACACTCCAAATATACGATACCGAAACTTTGTCTCTATTTAATTATACGTTCCATGGAAAATATTTTTGTTTCAGAGACGAAAGTTGGCAAATTGTTAGATAATAAAAAACAATGTTGGAGAGATTTCTAAATAAAGTTGGGCCAACTTTGTTTCTCGCATTTTTTGATTTGAGATAAAATGATACAAGATTGTTTACTTTTTGTCTCAAACTTATTCTTGGCTGTTTTTTAGCATAAGATTTTCAATATTTAACAAAATTTAATAATACAATAAGTATGAAATCCAATCAGTAGTTATTATATGATTTACTAGCCGAATGACCCGGGCAACGCCCGGGTTTTACCCGATTAAATGCTTTTATTCAAATACTATTCGTTACAATTATAAATTGGCGCCATGGATGTCTTCTTGTATAATATATAAATGAGTTTTAAAAATTGTAAAAAAAAATCGGCATCGGCCGGGAATCGAACCCGGGCCGCCCGCATGGCAGGCGAGCATCTACCACTGAACCACCGATGGTTATGAGAAATGGCCATATTTGTGCATTTATTCCATTCACAAAAGCAAACGGTGACAGAATTATTTAAGAAAGAATTGATATGACGCTGATAACTTTATATATTAATGCTGAGGTAAAGCCTGAAATATATGGAATTAATTCAATTTGATATTCTTTTGGATTTGTATGTTATTTACTTTCTATTGCGAGTATTTGTGGAATTACGGCCGCTCTCACATATGCAAATAATATATGGCGTAATCAACAATTGTTTTATTCAGTTCCCAACGTTTCAGTAACTTACTGACAATATTCACTGAGGAGAGTATCAGCGAGTCGCTGAAACGTTGTGGATTAAATAAAACATTGGTTGAGATGTACCTATATCTTTTTATAAACAAACTTCCAACCTATTCCAACCATATTTAGCCTTCATAAATTCAATTAGGTTAACGTTCAGATAGGTTTCACCACTCCTCTTAGTTAAATGAGCTATCCTTCTAAAAAATATATGTCATAAACCCGGGTAAGGCAACAAGTGAGTTGGGAGCATTCGGGGTTGAGTGGCAAGGCGTGCAGAGTGGGAAGTCCGCACGGGACAGTAAGGACAAAGTTTGGGATCAAAGGACGCTCTCCTAGTACATCTCACGTGGCACCAGGACCAGGGGAAAGTTGAGGATTAACTGAGGAAAGCTCGGCGTCTTGCATGAAGCCGCGGAGGCAGGGAGGAACCAAAACGGCGGCCACGAGGGCCGCCGTGAGATCTAGCACCGAGCTGGCCTCTCCGAAAATATCCACTGTAACCTAACTAACTGTCAACATCGGGACCAACGCCCCTTCTTTGTCCCTCTCTGGATCCCCCGGGTGTCCGGTTGTAAGTTGGTGTCACTTTGAGACGACTAGAAAAGACCTCATACTTTATTACTTACATATCACTTTGTTTTTTATCTTTTATTTTTCTTTCGTTTTTTAATATAACATTGTTTAAATTACGATATATATATATATATATATATATATATATATGTGATAATAGGTTGGAGCTCTGTCGACTCTCTGTAATATTGCGTTGGGATCCTTATCTGTGATTAGGGATCCTGTCGACTAGCTGTAATATTGCGTTGAGGTCCTGTCGACTCTCTGTAATAATGCGTTGGGGTTTGGTAAGCCTGTTGTAGAACCTCGTCGACTCTCGCTATAAGTTGTGGCAACCGAGGGTCAAACCTGTAGTAACCGCGAGGGACAGTCAGGGGTGGAGAGTTTTCCAGTGCCTCTCTGCACCTTGTAGGACCTTTAACAGTTCTCCCAAAGTACAGGCAGTCGTGATCGAGGCAGAGTGGAAACTTGGGAATGTCCACGCACACAAAAAACGAAGCGACACGTTGAAAGAAAGTTTCTTGAATAGATAAAAAGCGAGCCAAGAGCAAAGATGGAGATAGAAGATTCCTTACTGTTTTACATGGTCGATGAGTTGGTGACAACCGGCGACACGCAGATGGGGAACTGGACTGAAAATGGCTGTTGCTACGTGGGGTCCTATTTAAACAACTTTTTTGGACTAGGAAGTGGACCTAGGAAATGGACCAGGAAGTATTGCCTTTCTGCACGTGTGCAACTCGACTCTGGCACCAGTCTGGGCTTCCATCTATCTTTAGAAGTTACTTTGTAAATCTCTCTCTGGCTCTTAACTCAGTTTTTAATCTATTACACAGCTTTTATTTATTCATCCTCAGTACATTACATTTGGTGATGCAAGGAGACATGTCAATTATGCATATAATTAGTTATATTATAATTAGTTCTATATACAACATGACAATCTTGTTATAAATTACATAATATAGGGTTATTGGTTTAAATTATCATAGATGGGCCCCGTGAGTGAAAGGGTTTATCCGGGTTTAAGCGGGTAAAGCCTCTCTAACACAGGTAAGTAATTAAAATTTCTTTTAATTAATTAAAACTGTGAGGGTAAAGGGCCATACAAGATGTTTATTTGGCTATATCTGAAAATTATAAAAATAAAACTTATGTTTAATTTAAAAGTTATGATATTCATTATAAAAGAGAACTGTAGATAAAACCTTTGTTCGCTAAAAAAAATAATGATGATGTTCTAAGAGATTGTTGGCGGGCGTTGGAAAGGGTTAGGGGTTGAAGAATATGCAATTGTAAGTGTTGCACAGACAATCAAATACTGAGATCCAGGTGCAAAGCGAGGATATAGACTTGTGCGTCTTCCTAGGCAATGTTTCACCTGCGATTCTGTATAAGGTTACAGTGCTTTGTCACAATTGTAGGGTTATTGGGTTGGAAAGTTGTTGAAAAAAATAATTAATATGCTTGAAAGGGGTGGTAGAGCCATGCGATAAGTAGAATTGTTGTAGCGACAGTAAGTTGTCTGACTTGACTTGAAATCAAAGGTTGATTGTGGTCCGCTAGAGCTGAAAAAAATTGAAAATTGAAAAATGTGAACGCTTTGTGCATGCGTTGGTGATGTGCTCTGCGGATGATTGAAATAAACTTTTGAAACGTGTTCAAACCAAAAAGTCGAGACTTGTACTTCTGGGGAACTGTGTTTACAAAGAGTTTGTTGAATTACGAAATCAAAAGAAAAATTGTCAAGCAGTACTGTCGTTTCTCTACGTTGATGTGAAGCAATGGCGGAGAGAAAGATAGTAGTGTAAAGTACATCGAAGTGGTTAGTGAAATAGATTGTTGTAAACGATTGTTGTATATGCCCGATAGTTGATGATAAACAAACATTGTCATATAATAAAGTAATTAAACAAAAATATAGTGAATAAAAAGATAAAAATGTGATTGTAGATAAAAAGAGTATAAGTGGATAAGCTCAAGCATGTACTATATGACAGATATAATAATGTATTAGTAAAATATAAAAGATATAATAATGAGAATTAGTAATATATAAAAGATATAATAATGAATTAAAAATGCTTATTGAAAGAATTAAATGTTTTGCTATTGTTAAAATAAAGTTGTTAAAATAATGTTGGAATAAAAATTTGATTATAATTGAAAAGTAAAAAAAAAATAAAAAAAATAATTATTCAAGATTTTATACAAAAAAATATATAATATAATTAAAGGTTATTAATGATTAGATAAACAAATGGAGCAAAAAATGTCTCTTTTGAAGAAAGGTTAAAAGAAAACAAAAAATATTCGTTCCTGAAAAAAAAAGAAAGGAACATATTCACACAATGTCTAGGTGTAGGTCCAAGATTATTGGTGTCTTTAGTTTGACCTATGGGGAGGCAATGTGGCCCTATGTCGCTTTGGTCCGGTCTGAGAAGTTGGTCTTTGCCAGATCTTCCCGATTATATTATGTGAGACCAGACGGGGAGCGATCTTGATTCTTAAATTTGGATGGTATTGACGAAGATGTTTGTAATATATAACAATAAAGGGTTAACATTATAAAAGATGGCGTTCTAGTTTAGAAAAAATATTCCATACTGGTCGTGAAAACAATGTAAAAGTTGTAAAACACATAATGATAATTAAAGATATAAAGTGTTATAATATTTCAATATTAAAGTTCAAATTAATAAGTGAATGGGGTAATTATTGGTAAGTCAATTAGTTTTAGGTGCTGCAATCTATTCGTCCCGCGAATTGGATGACGTGTCAGGTACAGGCGAACTGCAACTGGAGGTGTCATTTTAACATGGCGGTTTCCCTTTGATGCCGATATCCTTTGATGCTGACCGACATAGCTGGGTTGTTTATTTACGTAGGCGGTCCTTTGTTGCTGACCCTTTGTTACCGACTGGCACATGATGTCATGTCTGGCCTACGTCCCGAGTTTAGTTTCGACGATGTTGCGGACTTATTAAAAAATGTTATTCAATGATGTCAGGTTTAGATGTGAATAAAAGTGCGACTTCAACGTAGACACGCTTTGGTGAGGTGTCACAGGCATGAAGGCGTCTTGGGCCTGTTAAGTGAGAAAAATTGTTGTGGTGCGCTGTGACACTAGTGTGTGGATTGAATAGAAAGGTGTTACGTGAAGTCCTTGTTCTTGGTACAGCATCTAACTAGTTTTCGAATGAATAACAAATTTATTAGTCATGGGTGGTTGTTGTACGAAACACATCGAGAATTTTCAGATTGTTATAGAGGTGGCATGTTTATCGTGAAATCTTTGTGTTCGCGACGATATGGAGCTCGTGTGGCTCGAAATTGGACGTGTTAAATCGCGCGTTACTAGA